TGTTTTCTGTATGCATTTCACGTATTTTTTAAACCCCACCAGAAGAACACAGAACTGTAAAGTGAGCAGATTCACAGCCAGAAGAGGGTTGCCTTCTATATAGACTATATATAGTGGTTGGGTAGTCGGAGGGGGTGTACAAATTTTATGCTATCTGGACTACAGGCCCCTACCTACCCACCGGTTATGTTCCTCAGTCCTCGTTTTTTTTTTGGAGGGAATTTACATGAAAATAAATATTTTCCGGTTTCAATTATATATGCGATGTGTGTGTGTTTTTGTTTGCCTTTGACCGAACATGGTGCCCCCACCTTTAGGTTACTTTTTTTTTGTGTTTTTTTGCCCCTATTTTCCCTGCATTTTCCCCCCATCGGTCTATTTCACGCTTGATTGCATTGCGTCTGAACTGAAACTGAAACGAACTCGCTGACTGATTAGGCTCTCTGGCTTTTAGCCAAAAGGGGCGTGGCGCTAGACAACGACGGATGACATTCGCCACCCGATAAGGGCACGGCTTTTCTATATCTACAATTATATATATTCACAAATGGTAAATGGTAATCCAATTTGAAAAGTAACCAATATTAATTTAACACCTTGGGGAAGGGGGCTGTTATCGATTTAAATAAATTAAGGCTTTGGGGAGAGTAAAGTTACAAACATTTTATTGAAAAATAGCTGCAGATTTAAAGCCCAAGAAGGCTCGAATTATGCAATAAACATTTGCTTTCGTAGAGACTTGAAGATGGCAATCGAGACAGAGACAACGACAGGCTCTTCTCGACACCTTGGCCAAAACGGATTGAGTTATTGTACTCAGGGGACTTCAGGGACTCAGCGGACAGACAAGTGGACAGAGCGGACAAACGGACAGACGGACAAGCTGGCAATTGCCGGACGAAGGCGCCGGAAATGTTGCAACAACGGCAGTGCAGAGGAGAAAATCCAACTTGGCGACGGAAGACACAACAGTTTAAGTTGTGGGGCGGTAATAGTTAGAGGGCGTGACCAAATCCAATAAACACGAAATGCAACAATAACAACATCAACAATGGCAACTGCAACAAAGTTAGAGAATTAAAAGAAAGGCAGCAACAATTCTTGTAATTTATTTGTGATGTTTTTGTAGAAATGCAAGTCACGTGACTTAGTTTAACATTTAAACTTCTCTGGTGGCTTGCAACGAGTAACTTTTAGTTAGTTAGAATCCTATGCTTAAGATTCAAATCACAAGCTTCAAAAATTTGGTAATATCCAAAAGATGACTAATATTTTAAAGGTTTAAGAATTATTTATTTAATTTTAAACCTTTTTTAGGTATCTGGTTTTGTACTTTGGATATATAAACCATTCTCTTTGGGGAGAAAGGCAAGAAAGCAAAATAAATATGCACGGCAGGCAACAAAGTCTTCGGCTGTTGTTGAAAAGCGCAATAAACGCATTTCTCAGCAGGGCTGCACTTTTTTGTTTAATTTTGCAAACAGAAAGCGATCCAAGCCAACAACAGAAAGAAACCGAAAATGACTATCTATATAGCTAGTTATACATATACCATATAACCACTTTCAAAAGTCAATTCCCCAAACCGATAATTATTTATTTTGGAAAAGATAAACATGCTGGATAGAGTACCTTTCTGGAATCAGCAACGCCACGCCCATTCCCTTTTATTTCTTCAAATATATGTATATACAAATGTACTTACACCTATACTTTTCCTGTGTGCCCCGTGTTTAGCTTTATTTTTATTAGTTTATTTTCGTTTTGGCTTTCCGTATGGCACGCGAAAGGTCTTTGCACTTGACAACAGCGGTGGAGGAGACGGTGTGGAGGAGCAGCACACATTTCAACCCAAAAGAGCGGAGAGCCCCAAGAGTTCTTCCAACTTTAATTTTATACACAATTTTGCCTTGATTTTTGTATTATTTTTTAACAATTTAATCGTGATGGTTGAGAGTCGAGACTTCACACATCTTTGAGGCACTTTTGCTCTTATACCTGGTAACTGAGTGGTAACGTTTATTTATTTTTTGGTATATGTTACACACCGTATTTCAAAGTCAACAACTTTGCGTGCTCAAAATTAAATGTTTTTTTTAGAGAGGTACTCTTGAGGTAGAGGGTATCATTATTTCAAGGGTATCCTGGCGACACACTTTGTGAGAAATCAGGATTGGCTATAATTATTCCTAGAACTTTAGATTTATCTTTAAAGTTCCCTTTCGTAAACCCTATTTATCGCTAATTCATAAGACCTTTTTGGTAGTCATTATTTTTGTGAATGAAACCTCAACGAAGGTCATCAATAATTGTTTTAATTAAGAAAACAAAATCATGTGAATAACTGGTTTTAGCTTTTAATCTTTTCATTATGTTCGTGTGCCTAGTAGGGTTTGAGATACTTTTATTTAAACTGTATTTTCGATGGAGAACTGGTTCATTAATTGTGCGTAATGTGGGCAATTAATAAAAAGACTAGAACTATCTAGTTCTAGTTAAGTTTTAGCTCCATATTTTTCAACTATAATGGACTCTAAGAAGATTTGGCTTAATAGATGTCTTGAGACTTTACTTTTCCACAGTCTTAAGGCTGTTAAGGCTAATTTATTCAAAGCCTTTATAGTTTGTACACTTATCTCATCTATGGTACTTCAATTTCAATAAATTTTATATTATTTCCCCATTAAATCAGTGAATAATTGTTTAAATCAAAGTAAGATACATATCGTAAGATTGCTGCTTATACAAACATACAGTAAGATACAAGTAAGATCATCAATACTTTTGGAGGAAATATAGTAATACTCTTATAAAAAGCCCACATATTAGGAAATCCTATTGCTCGTAGAATTGAATTTTTTACCATTTTATTAGCATTATATGAGTCCTATGAGGATTTTTTAGAATTTTCTACCAGTGAAAATTATAGGGATTTCTATTGTTTTTGGAAGTAGTATTCATAATATTCACAATACTCTTGGATTAATACCCTTTTTAATAAAATTTAACTACCAAATCCAAAACCTTCTTTGTAATTTACATTTTGTTCTCTTTTGTATTTTATTTTTTTAGTTCCTGACTGGTTTTTGCCATTTATGCTTTATTTTGTTTTTCTTTTCTTGGGGCTCTCACATGTTGTGGCGCTCGCCTAACCGCCGCCCCTTTACCGCCCACTCTTTTCTCCTCTTAGGCTCTCTTTCTCTCTCTCATTCTCTATCTATTTTGGCATTCTAAGATTTTCTTTGCAGATTTGTTGTTTTCGATTATTTATTCGTCTGTATGCTTTGGGAGTGTATTCGTTCTCTGCCTCTCACGCATGATTTTATTTTATGTTTTTTTTTTTTTTTTTCGGTGAACAAAGAGGAGGCCGGTTTCTGTTTTCTGTCTCCCCTTTTACGCTCCCTTTTTTTTCCCCCCCAATGCTGTATCTGTGTGTATGTGCGTGTGCCTTTTAAATCTGCGCCTGTGTTTGTGTATCTTCACAGTCAAGGACAAGTTAATGAACGATTTTCTCTTTTGTGTGGATTTTCTCATCTGATGGGAGGGAGGTGGCGAGTGGGTGGTTGGGCGGCTGAGGGGTTGAATTTGTTTTGGTTTTCAGCTCAAAATAATTATATACATTATATTCTCTTTTCAAAATATTTATCATGCGTTTTTATTTCGTCTTTTTGTTTAGTGTGTTTGTTGATTAAATAATTGGCTGCACAAAATTTAATTTCGTTTTTCGGTTTTTCGGTTTTCCGGTTGTGGTCATTTTTTATTTTGCTTGGCGCCGCAGTTTTTTATTTTTTTGGCACCTCTTGTCTACCGTTTTTTGTTTTTGTTTATTTATCGCACTTTTTTTTTTTAAGTATATTTTATTTGCTTTTATTGCCTTTAAGTGATTAACTTTTCATTCATTTTTATGCATTTTTTTGTAAGAGACTGTGACCCAAATTAATGCAAAAATGTTGCATCAACAGTTTATTTATTTATTTTATTATTTCTTACAGTTTTAATTGTCAGAGTATTTAAAAAGTTTTTTTTTTATTTTATTTTTGAATTATTGCGTTTTTTTTCGAACTGTAAAGATTTTCTTTAGTTTATAAATTTTTGATTTTAAAAAATCTTCAAAGACACTCCAGAGCAAGACTATAAATTACAATATAGAACCGGTGTGGTTGAAAAATATAAAACAATTACTAAAAAAACATTTAAATACAATTTAAATATTAATCATTAAATGCAGGCTGAGAAAATTAAAATTATTTATTTTCCTAATTGAATTTGGAGTCTTTTATGATGTCAAAATTGGGCCGTGTGCTTGGAGACTTGGCTTGGCTTGTTATTAATGCACAAGTCGCAGTCAGGACCCACTACTCCCTACACCCACTCCCAACTCCCCTCCCTATTGGCCAATCCCAGTTGATAAGCTCTTAAATATTTAAACGGTGTGTCAGGATGCCGTGAAGCTGGCAGTGATGTGTGTGGGTGGGTGCCCCAAGGAGGCAATGGGCTTTATTCTGTCGCATTATGACGCAAGAAATTGCCTTTGGGATTGCTGGGAAAAAAAATGTACACGGAACAGGCGGAGATTCGCGAAAAAGTTAATTAACATTTTGTTACCGACACGCTTCGGTGGCATTTTGATATCACTTGCTATTATTGTTGCAACGAGAAGTCTTCGAAGGTATATACTCATGCTTCCAATACTAATAGAGGTAGTAGAAGTAGAAGAAACTGTGGAAGTAAAGCTGGATTAGCTGGATGAGCTTGTAAGTTTAAGCATTGCCTTTTAAACTAAGGGGTTGGTTTAGTTTCTCAGTTTTTGCTAGTCATACACCTAAAGGTTATCCAATTTCACAAAGCCGCTCTCTTGAACTCTGTCCTCTTCAAACTTTCCTGTAAAACAAACAAATTTGTGTCAGGGGGGTTAGGCGAGCAATTAAGAGGAATGATAAGCATTTTCTTGAGAGAAAATTTATAAACCGATTTTAAAATAATTTTCCTTAATTTTCCAGATCACAACATCCACCGCTAAGAAGCTATGGGAGAAATCCGACGGCAAGGGCGTGACCTCGAGCACTCCTGGTGGACCCTTGAATCCCCTACAGATACCAGGCATCGGCGATCCCTCATCGGTGTGGAAGGATCATACATGGTCCACCCAGGGCGAGAACATCCTGGCACCGCCACCATCGCGGGTATACGCCGCCCATGGAGGTGCCTCCGATACATCAAACAGCGGCAATACGGGCATTCTTAGGTGAGGTTTATGGAGGTTTATATGGAGGAATATAATGTATAAGTAATAAAATCAATAAAGTGTGAGAATTAGATGGTTAGAAGGTAATTAAGTAGCTCAGGAAGTAGCTCAGTTCGTGTAGAACAAAAACTCGTTAGTCTAAGCAATTAAGAGTGCCGTTAAAATGTACAATTTATCTTTTTTTATTTAGCTTTTAGATGAATAGCGTTAAGTATAAGCACCTTTTCACATTTAACCAACTGATTGATTTATTTATTGGCTAAAATAGTTAGAAAAGCACAATACTGTGAACGTTTTTAATTGGTAATTTGTTAAGTGACAGAATTGTAAATAAATGTATAAAAAATGAAACAAAAAGTGTGATAATAAATTACAATAATGACTCCAACCATGAAATGATATTAATCTATTAATTATTCTAGTCCCCGGGATTCAACTTGTGCTAAAATGGTGGAATATGTTCTGAGTGGATCGCCGACCAACAAGGAGAGCCCTCTTTCCGGTTTAGAGCCGCGTTTGCGAAATCTCAAGTTTGATGACAACGATAAGGTGAGTTATCTTACCACTATCTTTAAGGATTAATTAGTAATATCTTTTATTTTTTAGTCACACGATGATAAGGAAAAGGCCAACTCTCCTTTTGACACAAACGGCTTGAAGAAGGACGATCAGGTCTCAAATACAAATGGTGTTGTCAATGGCATTGACGATGACAAGGGTTTCAAGTGAGTCTACCAAACATTACTTTCCATCTTCATCTCCATCTAGATTCTAGATTCTGGAGTCTAGACCTAGACTGGGAGCAAGGTCTGCTTGGGGAAAACTGGTTTGGGTTCTAGACGCCTGGTCCTCGTCTGCTCTCTCTCTTTTTGTTGGACCGCAGAATGGTTTTATGATTTTTTCAGTTCAAGGTTGTTGGTTCTTTTTTTTTTGCATAAACTTTTACTCTTCAATCTTGAGGAAATGGGAAGTTTTTCCTGTTTAATGCTGTCATGGTGACTGGCTTTAAAAAGCCACATGGCTAGTCATTCTTGAGAGACCATTTCATGCTTCTTATGAAACTTGAATACCAAATTTTGTAAAATATTTGACAGACATGAATAATTTATTTACTTCAGGTCTTGGCCCATATTTTCTTAAATTTCAATTGCCATTGCAATCTCTTCATATTCATGTCTGACATAAAGCCAGCAATTGATGGCTGGTCTGCCCACAGTTTTTGTATTTCCATAATTTTTTTTATTATTATGTTTTAATTGTTATTTATGGCAATGGGGGGAAAGCTCTTTTTTTCGGCAGCCCACCTGCGTTATGTGACGACACTTGGAGTTATGTTTCAAAGAGTTATGGCCCAGAGAAGGTGGTTATAGGTAGCTTCGATTGGAAATTCATTTTATTTTTGGAGGCACTTGCAGATACACATCTGTAATTTTAAAAAACGCCTATACGAATCTCGTGGCAACTTAATTTTCAAAAGAGACTTGCTTTTACCCAGCAACTGGGCTACAAACACACAAGTAACCAGCTTAGGCCTAAAAAAAACGAAACCAGTCTGCGGTTTTCTCTCTTTTGCCAGCCGGCTCTGGTATCTGAATCTCTCTTGATGGTTGTTGTTATTGTTATTGGTGCTGACGCCGCACCGAGCTGTTTTGCAATTTCATTGCCGGTTGGCCCAAACATGTTTCAATGCCAAACGTAATAACGGTTATGATGTAAGTGGATGGATGGCAGCGCACAGCAACAGCAGAGCCAGAGTTGGCCGCCACAAAAATCACCTGCAAGTCAGTCGATAATGATATGCAGAAGAGAGAGGCCTAAGGGGTATATCTATCCATCTATCAGATAAAATAATGTTTAGATAGTAGTCCTTAAAGATATCGAAATCGGAAGCCAACAAATATAGAAAATCAAGCTTGAAAGCGTTTTGTTTTCGATTAGTTTCTGTTTGGATATTGCATTACAGTGTGGGCTTCAGTTACTATTATTTTTTTTTGTATTTGGTCTGTATTTGGCTTTGTTGTTGCTGCCGTTTTTTGTTGCACGTTTTGTTTGAAATTAAAGTTGCGAAAACATTGAAAAAAGCGAAAAGCGCTGCTAAAAATAATTCGAGGCAGGCAAAAGTGGCCAGACAGGTGACTCACTTGGCTCACTTACACACTGCCGGACTGACTGCTGCTTCTTCGTGTGCTGTTGCTGCCACCACCTGGCAGGTGACCCAGACTTGTTAACCCATTATCGTGGCAACCCCTCCCTTTAACCCACATTGACTACCTCACTACTTTGACCTTTTTGGCAACTATTTGTTGTCTTTATTAGCCTTTTTGTACTTTCTTCTGTCTCTGGCCAGAAAGTGAAAATTTCAGAGGGGGGGAGATTATATAACCGAGGTCAGACATGACTATTAGAATTCGGGGTCTCATGGAAAGTTGCCAGGGAAAAGCTGACCTCTATTATAGAAAGTAAGATGAGATAGAAGATGAATTAGGAATTAAATTATTCATAAAGTTGGAGGTACTTTTGGGGGAAAAACCAACAAGAACTGGTTGGTTGATCTCACGATCTAGACTTTTTACTGTCTGGTAATCACTGGCTTAGAAGCTTTTTTGTGTATGATTATGACTAATACAGCTGGTCACTATATAAAGGCTTAAAATAATATATTATTGTTGGAAGGTTTTAAATTTTTGGATGCTTAAAGAAGAGTTTTTATATGGTATTGTATGTTTTTAGAAAAATAGTTAATTGCAATTAGCAGACAGTCTCTTTTAATTTTTAAACAAAGATTAGCTAATGATTAATCTTAGGCCATGGCAACTAGATTTCTATAAGCACTGCTTAAGCCAATAGTTTTAAGAGCACTGGAGTCTGTTCTTTTGTTCTGCCGCCAAGCTAGTTTCTTTCTTTGTGTTTATTTGTTGTATTTATTAATGCGATGTGAATGACCCGACAATGAAATTATAGCTGGCAATTTATACTCAGCTATATATATATACATTTAAGCACACATGCAACGCTAAAAAGAGAGGGCCTCAGGTGGAGGCATAGAAACACTTGCAGAGTCATTCACTTGAGGCGGGGGTGCCTCAAGAGTAATGAATGAATGAATGGTAGCTACTGCTGCTGCTGCTGCTGTCATGCAAATGGGCTGAGGTAAATGCATTAATTAATTTGTATAAAGTGTGACTAACATACATACACTGACAAGCCACATTTCCAGTTTGATATTAAAGTTTAGCGGGACGATTTTATTTGCATTTTAAGCGCCGCTCGTTAAAAATCGTTGACTTTATGCGGTGTTTGCTTATTTATGGACTTTGTCCAGCTGCTTTGGTGACGTCATGAGTTATATTGCTAATTAAATGCAAACAAGTTTGCTGCTTAAGTCTTTTGTTTGTACTTGTCATTTTGGCGCAAAGGCTCTAAAACTGTGAACTGTAGGCTCTAAAATTAGCTTTATTAAAGATACGTTTTATTTTCATTAATAGTATTAACAATATATATATATAATCTTCAGTAAATAATCTGTTTTTATTTAAAATTTAAAAACATTTTTAAGAGCAAAGTTTTGTAGCAAGAGCTGTACTAAAATTTTGAACATGATTCAGGTCTAGGATAATATTTCTTGGTTCGTGTCTTGACTTAACAGATGTAACCAGTAATGTAAAGCCTTCTATGTTATACGGCTGTTAGATTATAGATTAGTGCTTCCAAAACTGTTGAAATAAAAATAAAACTGTAGATTTTAAAAACTATAATATTTTAACTAATTTAATATTTATTTTCATTTTTAGTCGTACACCCGGTTCTCGTCAGCCGTCACCTGCCGAGGAAACTCTGCCACGCCCCCCAAACCTACTGTTCCCCGCTCTGCCGCCCTTCAACCACATGCTCATGGACCACGGCCAGGGCATGGGCGGTGGCTTGGGCGGTGTCGTCGGTTCCGGCAACGGAGTGGGAGGCGGGGGCGGTGGAGCTGGTGCAGGCAGCGCCTATGCCGCCCACCAGCAAATGGCCGCCCAGATGAGTCAGTTGCAGCCACCGATGATGAATGGCGTTGGCGGCGGAATGCCGATGGCAGCTCAGGTGAGATTTTCAGATTTTTGTGGCTCTAGGATTGTTGCAGGATATAATCTTCTAGAACTTTTAATCTTATTCTGTTAATATCTATCGTCCGCAGTCACCTATGATGAATCACCAGGCAGCTGGACCCAATCATATGGAATCTCCCGGAAATCTTCTACAGCAACAAAATTTTGATGTTCAGGTGAGTTGCGTTCTCTCGCCCCCTTTCCCTCTAAAAAGTAGTTTCTGTTGTGTTTCCACCACAGTCTCAAGGGTGACATTTTCATTGTGGCTTTGGAGCCGAAAATTTGGGTCATGTTAGGTTAGGTAGGGATGAAAAAGGGGGAGGTACACCATGCACCTAGCACCGTATGCTTGCTGGCTAATATTGCACATCCGCCGGATGCTGGTTTTGCGTCCCCTGATAGCCATTTCCGCCAGTGCCACAATCCTGGCAACACATCCTCCCGGCTCCTAGTGCGCCACCCCCATTGCGGCTCCCATATCGTTGCATGCAATTTATTTCGAAACAAAACGGAAATCGGATTTATTAGCCACAAAATTGCTTTTAAGCTGGTGCCAGTGGCTTTCAAACCGGCCGCCCATACAAACCGTTAGGCTCGCTTTCAGTCACTATTTCTGCGGTTACAGTGAAGACTGGCAATGATGGACACAGCTTATAGGTAGTACTTGTTATGATTTATTTTAAAATGTTAAAGAAAACATATTAAAATTTATATTTCTTTAGTTAATATATTAATATAATTTTTATTTTATAAAATAAATAGTATTTGGGGTAGTGTCCTTTGTCCTTCCTGTAGACTTTGACTTTATTGCTGGCCAAACAACAACGGCAAACTTGGCATTTTCCCTCTCCTCCAGTGGCCAAATTGAAAATCAATATGCGTTGTTGCATTTGCTGATGCTGTATATCCTTCCCCGCTACCCGCTACCCTCCCCCTTTCCCACTAGTCCTTGCCCGCAAAACAAATTGACATTTCCACACTTTAGTCGTCGTTGAGGTTCGGGCAATCTGCACTTCCGCTTTTTATCGCTCGCTCCACACATCCTGCAGGCATTTTTGTGTCGCTTTTGTCTTCTCTTCTGGCCAAAAGAGAAGGATGAAACTTTATCGTAGCTCTGTAATGGTATGTGTGAGTGCGGAGAAGGGGGTATTGTAAGTGAGCCTCCTGAAAGTATGCTGCACAAAATTGCATCAAAGTGAAAAAGCCACACACACATATACACACTGACAGAAAAAGCCATCTGTGTTGCTGCAGGTCCTGCTGGAAAGTGGCTGGAATGTCAATAAGTAAATAAAAGGTGCAAGTTTAATGTGTTTTCTGTGTTTTGTATAAAATAAAAATAAACTTTATACACATACTGGATGCATACACTGGGGATAATAAATAATATTTAAGACACAAATATATTATTAGTTGTTTGATATTATTATTTAATTTTAAGTTAATATTAAGTTAAAGCCTTAAATGTTAAGAGAAAACTGTATGCATGGCTTTATAAACATTTTTCATGTTTTTATAAAAATAAAAAACAAAAAGAAAAGACAAAAAAGGGAAAATAAATTTAATGAAGCTTAAATTTAATAAAAAACACACTCTCCTGGCAACACCGATATCAAAAATATACATATATGAACTTTATCCGAGTGAGTAATAATTATGATTATTATTATTATTATGGAGTCATATACTCGGGGAAAGATAAAGCAACTCCGGGGCACTCAACCCATAAATAAATGAAAGAAAATAAAGAAAGAAAAGAACTGAGGGTATACGTTTATTGGTTCTTCGGAAGGAGGCACTGCAATATGTGGCCGATAATGGATAATGCAAGCCATGCCATCCGATCCACCCCCTACCCCCCAAATGTCCTTTATATGCACATTTTGCCATTTCAGCGGCTTTCGTGCATATTTCTTATTAAATTGGCGTTGATATTAACACCGGGAACATCGAAAAGCACCAAATAATGGCATCTTGACGAATTGCATGCAAAATAACGAAGAAAGCTGTGAAAGGAAAGCGGTGGAAAGCAGAGGTTATGAGGCGCCACACACAATGCAACCGATTTTTGACAAAAGGTTATGCAATAAATATGAAGACGAACGACTTGGTGGCATTGTGTTCGTTATGAGAATCTGAAAAAAGGACGAAAAATTGGGCAGATTGATCTGGGAAGAATGAAAATGTGATGACGTGGTATGGAAAATTTATAAAGATGCGGTGGTGCTTCTAGAAAAAATATTAAAATTGCTTATTCGTGGGTTATATTAAAATAAAATCTTAAAAAAGAAGCTGCCAAAAGTAGTAGAAATAATATAAAGAAGGGAAACGATCCACAATTTAGACACAAATAACAAGAAAGCCTCGAAAAATCGCCGGGAAATAATGCCAGAGAAATGTGTTACATTTTAAAGAAAAATAAAGCAAGAATAATGTAACTGTAATATAATAAAGTTATTAAGATTAAAAAAAAACTAAATCCCCTCTCTAATCACAAGCTTATGTTTCCTCTCACTCCAAAAAACAAAAAAAAAAAAAAAAACTAATTACAAATTCTGCGGCCAAAACATTACCTAAGTTAGTTTTCCTCTTGCTACGATTACCAATTGTTTTTTTGATTTTTTCGCTTTGTTCACTTTCGGCCAACACTCTTGGCCAGCACTCTTCCGTCTTGGCCATGCTTCATTGAGTGGCTTTGTGTGTTAATCACTGAGACGGAAAGACGGCTTTTGTTGTCTTCAACGGGGGCTTAATCGGATAATTGTTTTCACTTGCTTCCCACTGCCCGCCCAATTCGGCTTTGATCAGAAAGTGTGCTTATTTGATTCCAAATCTCTGGATTAGGTCAGGTTTTCCAGAGGTATTCAAGGGTTAAGTCCATTGAAGTTCATTGGGAAAGTTAGTAGAGGCTTAGGCTTTTATATTAGGTTTGAAATTAGATATTTAATTTAAACAAAAATCATTCATAAAAAGCCATTTAAAATTCAGACGAAAACCATATGCATTTGGCATTCAAATATTGTGGTGAATTATTTATATTTTAAGTGTGTGATAATTTGCATAAAAATGCATTTAAATCAATGGAAATGCAACATCTGTTTTGCTTCTTTGGACTTGTGCAACCCCTATTGTCCGGGGCATATATATTAATTCAGCAATTAATTAAGCGTTAATTGGCACAAAAAGCATACAGCTCATTATGCACGTGTGTGCATGGCACTTAGTAAATTAATTTCCAATTGTCCCTGCCATGAAATGATCCTTTTATTTTTAATGCACAAATGGCAGATTTTTCGTAATGGAGGTTAGAAATTAAATTTAATTAATTGTGCTTCATGTGACTTTAAACTTTAGGCCCTTTTTAGTATAGCCCTTTGAAACAAGGAAACTAATTTCGAATTCGGTGACCCAATATTTTCCTGGCAACTCAACTCTAGCCTGCCACAAAAGCCATTTAAGTTGCCAGTGACAACGACAAATGTTGCCGCCTTGTTTCTGCCACAATTTTCACCTGCTCTTATCAGCCAAAAACCATAATCAAGTGGTTGTTGTTTTTGGAGCAGGGGTAACAGGAACGGGACCATAAGCATAGGGCTTCAAAGGAGTAAGATAGGAGGAGGTCTGGATGGAAAGTGCCATCCAATGCTGTCACTTGACATTTACCGCCAATAAAGCCCAATTAGCGGTCGCCTCTTGGCTCGGAGACTCCAGACAACTGAAGTCGTCGTCTTGCCTTGAAGTTTGTGTGGACACGCAAATGCTAATTAGTGAGCGGCAAATAGATGACAACGGCTTCAGAAATGGGCCATCGAGGGTGGCAAGTTGGCGTCGAAAATTTTGGTAGTCGACTCGACGACACATTAATTAAGCGACGCTCTGATGCATGCTTCACAGCGGTGCCTGCCACTCGATGGCCTTTAGATTAGTGGCTGAAAAGTTCTGGTAAGATAATTTCCAAAGCTATGGCCTTTAATCTAAAATCCTCACACAGTAGTTAGGTAAAAATATTAACCAGAAAAATATTTAAAGTAAAAGAAAGCAACTTAATCAATCAACGCGATTGTAACCCTTTCGTGTTGGCTTAACCCATTAACACTTCCTAACTTTCAACTCGAACTTCACATGTTGCGGTAAGGCTTTTCTTTCGCCTGATTGCCTGGCGGGTTGAAAGTTCAAAGTAACACTGAAACATGGAAAAAAGAACAAGTATAGATCCACGGAAGTTTTCGGCAAGAGTTTAGCAAATAATTTGCCTTTAATTAACATGCTGACATCATTAAGCAGATGGCAACAGTTTGTCAGATAGTCGGAGGAATCATTTGTCTTCACGCCCGCAGGAAATATCAACCCCCGACTTGGGCCTCCCCCCTAGGGGGAATGTTATCGACAGTGCCCCACCTTTCCAAGGCCTTGCCGCTGTCTTGGTGTTAGTGTGTGCTAATTAAATAGAAAAATTAGAAAAACTACGTCGTAAATTTCCCAGCGACCGACCGGGTAGTCGTCGTGTAATACAAAACCCAAAAGCGCACTTATCACACTCTAGGGGTAGAACCGGAAAATCGGGGGGAAGTCCGCTGACAAAGAGCGATGGGAATAATGAAGAATATAGAATGGAGAATGGAGCTTGGTAAACCCCAATCCGCAAACCCCAAAGCCCGAACCAGAACCAGAACCAGAACCCACCCCCCAGCGGGTGTGAAATCATTTGACGACATTGCTCTCTGCATGACGCAATTAATCACATTAGGTTGGGGCCAGGGCGGCGGTGTTATTTATTTATTCGTGGCCAGACGGCGAACAATCGCTTGATTAGCTCATAAGTGAGCAGCCAAAGACATTGACCCCGATAAGATGGACGAAGGTCCCCGCTGAAGGCGAATTGTAAATGCAAATGCTAATTACATGATTACATTCTGCAATGGAAATAAATTGAAGGCTCCTGTGGTGGATGGTTGTTTTTAGTTAGAATAGACAGTATTCGTATATCCTCATTATGCAAATACTTTATAAATAAACCTCTATTGTTTTAAATGAAAAGTTTCAAATATTAAAACCTCATGAATATTTTGTTTTGCTTTTGAATAATTATAACATGTAATCATAAATAAAGTAAAGCTTTAACTCCTAGTATTCCTGCTTTGTAATTAACTTTCTGACTTCCAACTATTGTTACCAC